ACAGGCATAACATTATGTGGATGAAATTAATTGTTTTACATGATGTTATGAATAAGGCACCAAAATGAAAATGGTATTCACTGCATGCTCCCTTCTGTTATACCAGTACAGACTTCTGGAGTATCCATTGACTAGTAGGAAATGTTCAGGTTTGATTGATAACATGAGGGTCCACCTACAGTCCCCAGCAACTATGTAGAGCAGCCTTTTTCAACCGGGGTGCCTTCTGGGTTCTTCAGAAGTGCCTTGTCAAAATGCCTAAACATTGCCCAAACCAGCAGGTGGATAAAGCTACAGGTTTCATTGTGCAAAATTACAACCTTGGGCACTGTGCAGGCCAGCTGCCAGCATCCTAGCAACTGCTGACATTATTGGTTGATAAGGAGGACATAAGCACCTGTACAGCATTTTTTGACACCCCCTGCCCCTTTCTTTCAGCACTGGGGCCATGTTAGCTGCCAAGGGGAAGCAAGATGAGGAAGAAAAGCTGGAATACCAGTCAGACACCCAACATAAATCACCTCTAATGTTGGGTGTTGTACATGTGGGAAGCCTTTCCTATGTAAAACTACTCGTTTAGCTCTTACATTTTAGAATGGGGTGCCTCAAGATTGTGCTTAATTTTAAAAGCTGCCTTGACTGGAAAAAGGTTGGTTGATAAAACACTGATCTAGAGCTGCAATGAATGCATAAATACACCTTTTAAAGAAAACAGAACATTTGCTTTCTTTCAGGAAATAAATAAATTGGGTCCATATGGGAAAGAAGAAGAGGGCAATAGAAGACCAGTGCAGCTATTTTCTTAAATATATATGAGTGCTGCCTGCTCCATGTGAGCACGCTGTGGGGAGGCCAGAAATTAAAGACCTCTGATTGCATACCATACCCAATCAAATTGTGGTGAGTAGGATTTTGACTCTTTACAGCATGCTTCAATGTAATAAGTATAACAAACACCTTGTGTAACTATAAACATACTGTATAGTTATAATTTATATCAATGTTTAACCCTGTTGGTGCTGATATTAGGAAGAAAGAAGCCTTCTTCCTCACATCACAGCAGCTTTTCACCCATATTCTTCAGCTCTGGCCTAGAGAATCTGGGATGAGATATTTTACAAAGATGGCCAGTGAGACCTTCAGATCTCACTTTCATAAACTGTCCATCTCTGTAAAAGTGAATGACAGAAGGGTGTGTCCTATGATGAAAAGTGAAGAAAATATTCTCCGCTCCTCACCTCATCTTCATAAACCCGAGAGATCAGCTCAACATGAAGGCAGACTTTACAGATACAATACAATTCAATACAAGAGAAATCGGAGGGCCCTGATCATTAGAGCTTACAATCTAAGAGAGAGGGCCAAGTGATACAAAAGGTAACAATTGCAGGGGATGAGCTGATGGAGAAAGTGGAAATACAGTGTATTAGAAGCAGGATAGGCTTCTTTAAAGAGATGGGTTTTCAGGGATCACCTAAAGATGGATAGATTAGGTGATAGTCAGACAGATTATGGCTTGGTGTTTTAGAGGATGGGAGAGACTCTGGAGAAGTCCTGCAGGTGAGCATGAGGGAAGGTGATGAGGGAACTAGAGAGCAGGAAGTCTTGAGAGGACCGAAGAGCGGCTTGGTTGGTATTTTAAAACCAGGTTAGTGATGTACATGAGAGCAGAGCTGTAGATGGCTTTGTAAGTTAGAATTTTGAACTGGGTTTTTGTTGGGTGAGCAGAAGCCAATAAAGAGACATGGAGAAAGAGGTAGCAGACGCTGCACAGTTGGTAAGATAGAGGAGTCTGGTTGCATTGCATGATGGGCTGAAGGAAGGATAGCCTATGTAAAGGTAAGCCAATGAGGAGGGAGTTGCAGTAGTGGAGGCGAGAGACAATCAGGGAGTGAATTAGAAGCTTTGTGGTGTCATTGGTTAAAAAGGAGCATACTTTGGAGATGTCATGGAGGTTGAGGCATCATGATTTAGACAGCGACTGGATGTGGGGCTGAAAGGACAGGTCAGAGCCCAGGGTTGCAATTAGCACTCTGGCATGTGGTGAAGGACTGATAATTGTACATCTGATTACCTCTGAGTCTATCTAGATTTGTATCTTTTTCTGTGTTTTGAACCTAAATTTGACTGATTAGAGGTTAAAGGATATAAACAGATTGATGTCAACATGGGTCCATTTGTCTCTGCCCACAAGCTGAAGGAAATAAATGAACTGTAATAATAGCAGCCCATACCAGAACCCCACCTCCACCTTGCTGGAGTCTGAGTCAAAGTGGAGCTCTGTGCCCATTACTGATCCAGCCACAGGCCCATCCATCTGGTCCATCAAGAGTCACTGTCATCTCATCAGTCCATAAAAATGTTAAAAAACCTGTTTTCAGATATTTCTTGGCCCAGTCTTGACGTTTCAACTTGTGTGTCTCATTCAGTGGTGGTCGGGTTTTAGCCCTTCTTACCTTGGCCATGTCTCTGAGCACTGCACACCTTGTACTTCTGGGCACTCCAGGTAGGTTGCAGTTCTGTAATAAGACAGCACTGGAGGATAATGGGTTTCTGGTAGCTTAAAGTTTGATTCTTCTCAAATCTTTGGCAATTAACTTGCGTTTTTTTTTTTCTCAACACGTTTTGTGCAACCCTTTTGACTATTTTCAACAAAACATTGATGGTTTTGTGATTATTTCCCAATATCTTAGCAATTTCAAGAGTACTGCATCCCTCTGAAAGACTTTTTACGATTTAAGACTTTTCAAAGTATTAAATCTCTTTTTTGGCCCATTTTGCCTGAGGAAAAGAAGCTGCCTAATAATTATGCACACCTTATATAGGGCGTTGATCTCCTTAGGCCACACCCTCCCTCATTACATAAATACACATCACCAGATATACTTAAATCTAATAAGCATTCAAATTTATACAGCTTGGAGTTGGACAATATGCATAAAAATTATGATTTGGTAAACAAAACTCACTTGCCTAATAATTGTGCTCACAGTGTACGACATAAGAAATGGAATTGTCATAAAAGTGACATCCATTCTGTTTCAATCAATTCAGTCGGGGATCTGTCCACTGATCACTTGCTGATCGGAATGGAGGAAGGACATGTGATAGAGGCCTTAGGTTGACCATACACTATACAATCTACCATCAACTACTGTATGTAGTGCGAGGGCCTGTCTGATTTGATACAAATTGAATTGTTTGTTTAGGTATGTCCCCATAATATAGTTTTAGCAAATCTAAAGGAGATGATACAAAAGCAGTACAGTCAGGTTGTATAGTGTTATCCAGCTTTAGTGGGCAGAGCAGTCACCTGCTTCAGTTTTATGTACCCCTGCCCATATACACTCTTCACTATCCAAGTTGGAGTGGCTTAATCTATTTTTTATCATTTCTAACATCTTATCATCATTTTTATTTGAATTGATGGAACATTTTAAACTGCCTTTGCCTGGTTCCGCACTTATCTCAGAGTGAAATGAAAGATCAGTGATTGATTACATTCATTATCTCTTACATGACTTTGTCTGCGAATATTATACTGAAATCATACCTCTCACTGCTTTTGATAAATATGAAAGAGCAGATATTGTATTTTGATTATCAGAAAATGCTGTCTGCTAGACACTACAGGATGTCATTTTATTAGCGGTTACAGTCAGCTAGTTATAAGCAGAGTAAACACAGCATCTAATATGCTTTTGATTAACTTATGAGATTTGCAGACATGCTTGGTAAATAGCAGGATTTTATTAAGATTTTCTTTGTAGCTCTGATACATGTACTATACTTTGTCAGTACTCGGAGCTTCCGCTGGCCATTTAATTACAGTAGGACTTGCAGAGATAACCTTATCACAATGAAATAGTTACAAAGTCACAGTGAAACTCTTTTTTTTTTCCAAGAAGGACCTGTTCGTCATAGCAGTATTGAGGGAAAACGCACATTATCCCGACTTGCTGGAACAGGAATAGGGGATTTCACACCTATGCTGGGTTCACACCTATGCATTTTTATCACTGATAGGTGATACTGTTCATGTGTTAATGTGCATTTTAATTGCTCAGTGCAATGGTCTTTGTTTTGAATGGTCAGGTTGACACTATTCATGACATTGTATGACACATATTGTATGAGTCATCATGCATTTTGATGCGTTTCCATCTATTTCAATGAAAACGCATCAAGCAAAAATGCAAAAAGTGTGAATTTATTCCTAATGGGTACCTTAGTGCATATCATACTGTACATTAAATTGGAACGTTAGTCAGAGATATATGTCATCCAGCTGGATCAGTGCAGGCTGGTCTCTTTTGCAGGTACAGCTACTGTGACAGTTCTTGGCACTGTCACAGTGAGAATCAAGGTTATTGTCAGGAATCAAGGAGTGACCAGAAAGGTGTGGACTGACACAGGGAAACGCAGGTAATATAATACAGTTTATTATTAGCCACCCAGATATATATCTATATAAACGCACAGTGAGCAAACCAACCTTCCACTAATCTTTAGGAGGTGCAGGAACACAGGCGTAGTCACGGCTGGAGAGGTGGAATGGTCAGGCCGGCCGTAGGGTTCTGTAACGACTGCCTGGTGGTACCTCTAGCGGTCCTCAGGGCAGGATTCCCCAGGGCGCGGAGTCTAAGCCCCAGTCTGCCTTTTCACCAGAGCCCCTGATGGTGGGGATGGACTTGGCGCAGGACTGAGACCAGGTCGCGGCCCCTGAGTACACCTGCTAGTGGTAGAGGGATCCGCCAGAGGTATGTGCAGGTACGGCTGGATCCGTGCAGGATGGATGGATGGCAGAGTAGTTAGCGTGGTCAGACAAGCCGGGTCGGTAACGGTGGAGGCAGATCAGTACAGAGCAGCAGGCAAAGAGTAAACGGGTCACAAGCCAAGGTACAGCAACAGGAGGTCAAACAGCATAGGAGTAGGCAGAAGAATAGTCAGGGATGAGCCAGTAGTCAGAACAGGAGACGGTCAACAGAGATCAGGATCAAGCCCGGGTCAGCAACGAAGCAGGAACACAGGGTACAGAGGCTCATGGGAAACCATACACCAAGGCCCAGAGCACAGGCCTGGTCATGCCTTATATACACCTTTCTGTAATCAGCCCCAGGTTTGGCTGATTGTGAGCTTCTGGCTGCTAAGAGCACCCGCTGGTCAGCTCTGGTACTGCAGCCCACACGGCAGGTGAGTCCCACCACCAGTGCTGAGTCCATTGCTGAGAGCACCCGCTGGTCAGCTCTGGTACTGCAGCCCACACGGAAGGCGAGTCCCACCACCAGTGCTGAGTCCATTCCTGACAGTAGACCCCCCCCCAAAGGAGCGGCCTCAGGACGCTCCAGACAGTCCTTAGTGGGCAAAATGTTCCACCACCCGGGTCAGGTAACTGGCTGAATATCCAACTGCCGGAGTAAACCGGCTGGCTGGGTTTCCTGATGGTAGACTTCTCTTTGTGTAGGAGAACCCAGGAAGGCAGGTCACTGGGCACAGGATTTCCAGGAGTAGGCTGGGAATCCGTTATTGGCCAGTTTAGCTGGTCATCAGGGGCTGGCATGTCGGGCTGCACAGCAGGCAGAGGGACGTCAGCGGGCACCAAGTCATCTGGCACGACAGCGGGCACAGAGTCACCGGGCACGTCAGCGGGCACCAAGCCATCTAGCAGAACCGCGGGCACAGAGTCACCTGGCAAGTCAGCGGGCACCGAGTCACCGGGCAAGTCAGCGGGCACCGAGCCATCTAGCAGAACCGCGGGTACCGGGTCACCAAGCACCAAATTAACTAGCACAATAGTGGGCACTGAATCAACTGGCACGACAGCGGGCACTAAGTCATCAGGTCATGTGGCTCAACAGTGGGCACTGGGTCCTCAGGCATCAAGTCATCTGGCTGGACAGCGGGCACCGAGTCAACTGGCATGACAGCGGGCACCGAGTCAACTGGCATGGCAGCGGGCACCGAGTCAACTGGCATGGCAGCGGGCACCGAGTCAACTGGCATGGCAGCGGGCACCGAGTCAACTGGCATCAAGTCATCCGGCTCAACAGCGGGCACCGAGTCAACTGGTGCGACAGTGGGCACCGAGTCAACTGGCACGACAGCGGGCACCGAGTCAACTGGCACGACAGCGGGCACCGAGTCAACTGGCACGACAGCGGGCACCGAGTCAACTGGCACCGAGTCAACTGGTACAACAGCGGGCACCAAGTCAACTGGCACGACAGTGGGCACCGAATCGTCAGGCATCAAGTCATCTGGCTCGACAGCGGGCACCGAGTCAACTGGCACCGAGTCAACTGGTACGACAGCGGGCACCAAGTCAACTGGCACGACAGCGGGCACCGAATCATCAGGCATTAAGTCATCTGGCTCGACAGTGGGCACCGAGTCAGCTGGCACCGAGTCAACTGGTATGACAGCGGGCACCGAGTCAACTGGCACGACAGTGGGCACCGAGTCAACTGGCACGACAGTGGGCACCGAGTCAACTGGCACGACAGCGGGTACCGAGTCAACTGGCACGACAGCGGGTACCGAGTCAACTGGCACCGAGTCAACTGGCAGGATGGTACAGTGAGTGGGAGCAGGGTACTGACATGTGGTAGATTGCTGGGTATACTGGGCTGTCACTGGGGGGGCTGTCACTGGGGGTGCTGTCGGGAATGCAGGAAAAGAGCTTTGAGCAGAGGAATGATGAGAAGCAGGACTGGTTCGTTGCAAGCCGATTGAGGCTGGGTGTAACAAGTCTGACCATGTCTGCAGTAAGGGTTGGACAACGCTCAGCTTACACAAGGCCTGTCTGGTCAAAGATTGCACTGCGTTTATACACTTCTTTAGCACATGTGGTGAACATGCTGAATAATGCTCCAAGAAGCAATCCGGATCATCCTCCAACAACCATACCAGTGATATTATTTGACTCGCCCTGAATGGAGGAAGAAATTCATCCCTGCTTTTAGGGGTACTAGATGAAGCCAACTCAACACAAGCCTGAATCAATGGTTGCACCTCAGAGAGCTCTAGGTCCTGACCTACTAGGGAATGAGCGACCCATATGCACTCTCTAGTAGCTGATCCCTGGTATACTCCCGCAGAGTCTGATAGGCATATTCTCTGTCATCAAAGACTAGCATAGACAAATATATAACCTCATCAGGATGCATCCTTCACAACAAGTCAAGATGGCTTCCCTGTGCAGCCACTTCTGGTCAGGAAAGGCCTTGGTGTGATGTCAGGAATCAAGGAATGACCAGAAAGGTGTGGACTGACACAGGGTGTCAGTGGGAGGAATAGTGCCCCATCATTGGTGTCAGTGGGAGGAATAGTGCCCCATCATTGGTGTCAGTGGAAGGAATAGTGTTCCATCATTGGTGTCAGTGGGGGAGGAATAGTGCCCCATCATTGGTGTCAGTGGGAGGAATAGTGCCCCATCATTGGTGTCAGTGGGAGGAATAGTGCCCCATCATTGGTGTCAGTGGGAGGGATAGTGCCCCATCATTAGTGTCAGTGGGAGGAATAGTGCCCTATCATTGGTGTCAGTGGGAGGAATAGTACCCTATCATTGGTGTCAGTGGGAGGGATAGTGCTCCATCATTGGTGTCAGGGGGAGGAATATGCCCCATCTTTGGTATCAGTGGGAGGAAGTGCCCCATCATTAGTGTCAGTGGGAGGAATAGTGCCCCATCATTGGTATCAGTGGGAGGAATAGTGCCCCATCATTAGTGTCAGTGGGAAGAATCGTGCCCCATCGTTGGTGTCAGTGAGAGGAATCGTGCCCCATCATTAGTGTCAGTGGGAGGAATAGTGCCCCATCATTGGTGTCAGTGGGAGGAATAGTGCCCCATCATTGGTGTCAGTGGGAGGGATAGTGCCCTATCATTGGTGTCAGTGGGAGGGATAGTGCCCCATCATTGGTGTCAGTGGGAGGAATAGTGTCCCATCATTGGTGTCAGTGGGAGGAATAGTGCCCCATCATTGGTGTCAGTGGGAGGAATCGTGCCCCATCATTGGTGTCAGGGGGAGGAATAGTGCCCCATCTTTGGTGTCAGTGGGAGGAATAGTGCCCCATCTTTGGTGTCAGTGGGAGGAAGTGCCCCATCATTGGTATCAGTGGGAGGAATAGTGTCCCATCATTTTTGTCAGTGGGAGGCTCGGAGGCATAGTGCCCCATAATTGGTGTCAGTGGGAGGAATAGTGTCCCATCATTGGTGTCAGTGGGGGAGGAATAGTGCCCCATCATTGGTGTCAGTGGGAGGAAAAGTGCCCCCTCATTGGTGTCAGTGATCCTCATGGGCTGTGATTGACAGCAGTGGAAGCCAATGGCTTCCACTACTATGTATCAGCCATTGAGGAAAGGGAGACCCGGGAGAGCCTTTGCGCATCACTGGATCAAGATGTGGCTTGGGTAGGTATTTAGGGGGGCTTTGGAGGGTGCTGTTAGCATAAGGTTTTTTGCCTTAAAGCAGAGAATGCATAATTACCTGCTCTGTGCAATAGTTTTGCACAGAGCAGTCTTGATCTGCCTCTACCTTGAGTCTTTACAACCACATTAACTTACACTTTGACCTTAAGTGTCCATTGTGTGGTCTGAAAAAAAGATTGCGGGGTTTATGCCTCCCTTGCAAGCCCTGGCTATGATGTCTGTCAGTGGTGCTTTAATCACAGGATGACCAGGGAATTGTGTAACTCATTCATCTCTATTGTCAGTACCTGCACATGCGCACCACTACTGTGGTGCTGACTTCAACCTTTACCAGGCCATGGCAGTGTGAATATATAGAGAGAAAACTATTTCAAATCAGTACTTGTATAGGCAAATTTAAAAATGGGCATGGGAAGATGTATGGAGGCATGGGATTTATTATTCTAGTTATTCCTCTATTGGGTTTCCTCTTACAATGGTGACTAGTACATTTGTAAAATGTTGTTTTAAAATTGTTTTTTTTTATAATGTAGTAATAATACAATGGTATTTATGTGTTACTGGTTTGAATGCACTTCAGGTATACTCTAGGCTCTGAATGGATAAATTCTGAATTATTTGGAGGGGAATTGGGCCTAAAAAAAAATAAATACAAATTTAATAAAAAGCTTTCATTGCTTCTGGCTATCGCATTCAACGATGCTAGAAGTAGTTTTATGGGTCTTATAAGCAAATTTGTTTAAATGTAATAAGCAGTAAACAGGAGTGGAGAAAGAAATTTAGGTTGGAAAACATCTCTTCAATTTCAGCAAAATGATGGGATTTTTATTTTAAAGAAAAGATCAGCTGCCATCTCTGCAATGTCTTTTTCTTTCTAGGATACATTCTATGCGAGTTTAAAGAAAGATTGTCATAAGAGAAATACATGGGCTGCCCAGTGATGAATGTTCGAAAATGCTTATTCTTGGCAGCACTACTGATCTGGATTTGGTCTTCAGTACTTTCTGGTCCACTAACTTTAAAACAAGCTGAAGAATTCTGACTTCACTGTGACATTATTTATTGCATGCTAGTTAAAAGGAATGGCGTGGAAAGTACCTAAGCCAGAGGATCAACATCACAGCCGGACAACTATTTTTTCTTCAGGAATTCCACAATAACAGGATACATACTTATCTCCTAACAGGGGTCAGCAGCAGATATTATGTGTATATGGGTTTGTGAATATTGGTGCTCCATTATGTCCATGATAGTTTGAGCCATACTAAAAATGGTTATTAAATAAATATATTGTTATGATGTATCTTAATGTCTCTTGGCTCTGTGTGGTGATTAAATGTGTTTTGTCTACATGTATGAACATTTTTTTTTTTTTTAATTCTCTCTTTATGTAATGCCCTCTAAGTTTAGCTAGATAGGCTTTTTTTTGTTTTTTTTTTTCTAGATAGAGGCTGAGTAGCAGCCTGGGATGAATAAGCCTGGGAGTGAGGCAGGAGTTCGCCTCAGGACAGGCTGGAAGGTTCTACAGGCCAGGGCTTCTGGATCCTTCCCACCCTTCCATAAACTAACAGAACTTTCTAGAAGAGGGGCGGAGGAGGGAAGGAGGCCCAGAACTGCATGTTTAATGGACCTTGGCCAATTCCCTGGCAGAAGGCTGGGCATGGTGGTCAGGACAACCCTTAAATGTGGCAGAGCCTTGGCAGAGGTGTGCAGAGACAAGTGGAAGATGGACTGAGAGGAAGGCTGGAGTGTGGGCTTGGGAGGGGTGCCCCAGGACGGAGAGCCTACCTATGGGCAAGATACTGGACGGGAAGATCTCTACTGCCTCAACGTCTCCATGGGAGGACAACCTGTTAGCAGGAAAGGAGCAAGCCTAGCGTAAGGCCTGAAGGCAGCCATTAACCCACCGCACTAGCAGGCGAGGACAGTGTGAGTACTCTTTCACCCCCTGAGCTGGATACAGGGAGAGGGCGGTCAGGTGCAATACCCAACTAGTCTTCACCTGGGACTGCTTAAC